TAAGCCACAATAAGACCAAATATTTATACATTGAGAAAATATATAGGCACTGGAATTAAATAAACCTGGATTCAAATTCCACTTTTGCCATTAAGGAACCATATTAAAATGGATTTTTCCCCCTTCAAATCTTCATTTCTTCACTATATGATTAGGATACTATCAAATTTGAAGTTTTGTTTTAAGAAATGGAAGGAACATATTAACATGTATAGCATACTGCTTGATAAGTATTCGTTAATCAATCAATGAATGATAATTATTTGGCTTTATATATATTATGATAGTTAACTATTTACTATGGCATAAGTACAGAACAAAATTTTGTACTTAAAATTATTCATGTTTATGGAAGACTATCACAACTCTAATTTAATTAAATAAATGATTATTGGGTACCTGGATTTTCTAGTAATTACAAAAATAATGGGGCCCTGGCTGGTGTGGCTCAGTGGAGTGAGTGCTGGCCTGCAGACTGAAAGGTTGCCAGTTCGATTCCCAGTCAGGGCACATGCCTGGGTCCCCAGTTGGGGGCGTGCGAGAGGCAGTCGATTGATGTTTCACACACTGATGTTTCTCTCCCTCCTTTCCTTTCTCTCTAAAAATAAATAATAAAATGTTTTAAGTGCCTTTATATAAAAAAATAATGGAGAAACTGTCCTTGTTTAACAAAAGCTTGCCTTTTCAATAAGGAGATGTGGACATAAATAACTGAAATACCAGACTGTACAGACTATTAACGACAAGGTAAAATAGATTGCCTTTAATTATTTCATACTGAGGACAAATATATTCCTTCTGATAAACCAACAGTCCTAGTCCATGACCAAACTAAATGTATTAAACAAAAGTTCTCATACTAAAAATGCTTCTCCTGCTATGTTTCCTCTTCTTCTCCCTCCCTCCCTCCCTTTTATCCTTTTCTTACTTCCTTTCATCCTTTCTTCTTCCCTTCCCCTTTTTTCCTGATTTCTGTTCTATTCTTTCCAAAACTTACATCTTCAGTGTTCTGCTAGGATAAAGAAGTGAGTGGCACCTGGTTGCCCAGTTAGGTAAGGGACCTTAGAGTATGATTCATAAAACAGACCCTTTTACCAAAACCCTTTTATTTTCAGCTCCTGCACTCCCAGTTCCAGAAACACTTGCTGCTTCTAACTCTTGAGACCTTTGAAGGTGTTAGAAATGCAAAATGGTTGCTTTTCAACTTCCAAAACTTTGCTCCTATCATCTTCTCTCCTGTTTTTGTTGTTATAATGGTTTCATGGCCTTTACAATAAACCTTCGACTAGCTTTTTAGTGGAGTTTCAGGAAAGAATGTAGGTAAATGCATGTGTTCAATGTACCATCTTGCACTGGAATTCCCACTGACTATATTCATTCTTCAAGGCCCAATTCAAATGTCGCCTCCTCTAGGAAGACTTCCCTGCCTTCTACAAGATGGTATTAATCCATTCAGTCAATATTTATTTGGGTGGAACAACTTTTATTGAGTGTTTCTTACAGGCATGGCGTCGTGTTAGATAAAGGAAGAAAAGAGACCATTTCTTGCCCTCAAAGATTTCATAGTCTAGTGGGTCAGATAAGACAATGATATGAACACTTGCAAAATTCAGCATAGCAAATGCTAGGGCTATGGGTACCTAGAGGGCCATAACCTAATCAAGGAAGTAAGGAAATACTTCCTACAATAAGGGACATAAGCTGAGACTTGAACATTAAGTAGAACTTACCCAGGCATAGCAATGGAGAGAGCATTCCAACCAGAGAAAACAGCACATCTCTTCCAATTCAAAGTAGCCTTTCCAGAGCACAAATCTGTCCCTCTATAATGAAGACTCTTTCAGAAAGCCCTCCCTGGGTTCCAATAGCACTTACTGTCCTGTACTAAAGCTATTAGTCTGTCTCTCTCCTTCCCTAACCCACACTGTGAGCTCCCTGAGACCAGGTCCTACCAAGCTTATTTATGGTACTTAGCCCAGGGTTGGATAGGTCAGATTCAGTTATGTGATTTCCTTGCCTTTACTATCCTCATCCCCCTCTGCTGGTCCCAGAATTCAGGGGGTTGGGTCTTACTATGTTGGTGGGAAATAAATCTGAGGACCAGAATCTACAGTCCTGTGATAGTGGGATTCCCTGACTGTAACAGCATCACAGAAAAGAAAGCAAGGCTTTCTTGTCAGAAAAAGGAACACTCATTTCACACCACCTCTTTGGAAACAAAAAGGGAACAAACAGTTTAGGACAGATGCAGCCTCAGAGGCTGCTCCAACCCACTTCGCTTCCCAGGGGGATGCAGGTTTCCCAGCCCTCCCCTTAGCACAGACTCTGCCCAGCCCTGAAGTCATAGTATGGCTCCCTGTTCACTCCATTCAAATCAAGCCCTGCAGTAAAAACCCAGAGATCCCAGTCCTAAATCACTGGTCATGAATTGAGATTCTCAGACTACTGTTACTACGAAGGCTCTTAGAGATCATCTGGTCCCACAATCCCTCACCCCCCACCCTGTGGGAAGAGGGAGAAAATCTGAGGTTAAGAGAGAGGCCCTGCCCTAGCTGGTGTAGCTCAGTGGACTGGGAGCCAGCCTGTGAACCAGAGGATCGCCAGTTCAATTCCCAGTGGGGGCATATGTCTGCATTGTGGGTCAGGTCCCCAGTGGGGAGCACATGAGGGGCAACCACACATTGATGTTTCTCTCCCTCTCTTTCTCCCTCCCTTCCTCTCTCTCTAAAAAAAATTAATAAATTTCTTTGAGAAAAAGAAAAAAAGAGAGAGAAACCCTGTATAAGATCACAAAATGATTCAGGAACAGAGCTAGGACTTGAACCTATGACCCCCACTCCTTGCCTAAGAGTTTTTTTCAAACTCTTCTGTGGGGTGGTTGTCGTAGCAACAGTTTATTTGAGTGGGAGTATTAAGTAGAGGAGGTTGCCATTGTTTCCCCTTCCCACAGATCCCAGAGTCTGGCTGGTTCACCCACCTTCGAGTAGGGGGGAGGAACAGGAGGGAAGAGTCCTAGAAGCAGGAATGTCCTTGGCCTCAAGGGCAAGACTGTCCCTCCCTGCTGGAGAGCTGGGAGAAGGACAGTTGAAGGTCAGTACTTAGAAGGCTTGGACCATTTCTGTCACAAGTGGGTCCAGGGGAACTCCCACTGCCCTGCCCCTTGTCCTCCCTGGGTGCAAGCCAGCAGGCAGGGCATAGTATATAAAGAGATCAATGACATCCCAGCCTGAGGAGGGAGAAGTGAATGGGGTAGGGATCCATGGGGCACAGAGGGGGAACTGTCCCTGTTCTGGCTCCCAGAAAGCTTCTTCTTCCCTGCTGCCCTTCAAGGGCAGCTGAGGGTCCCAAGCCAGGCTGGGTCAAGAGAGACCTAACCAGAAGTTAAATGTACCTCCTGAAGTTTACAAATAGGTCATCTCCACCAACGGCAGAAAAAGCAGGCTCGGCTCCTCCACTAGCTCCTGTGCGAGTTCAGGCAAGTCCCTCAACACCTACAGCATGTTTCGTCTGAGATGGGGTGACTGACTGCTTTTCTCACTTGAATGACGTGTTTTCGAGTGTCTAGCACAAAGCTGGTCTCCACGGTAGACGTGCAGTGTAGGCAGATCATCTGGGTTCAAAGCCTTGCTCTGCTTTTTTTTACTTTTCATATGACCCAGGGCAGTTACTTAATCTCTTTGTGCCTCAGTTTCTTCTTCTATAAAATATCACTTACCTAATAGGGTTGCCACAAGGATTAAGAGATTATCTTGTAAAGTGCTTAGCGTGATGCGAGGCACTGCACTTGGTGAAAGTTAGTTTCCAAAACGGGATACTCCAGGCAGGCTCCTTCTAGGCCTTAGGCTAAAGTTTGTAGGAGGAGGCAAAGTCGGGTCCCTCCCTTAGGTGGGCACGACTTGGAGAATTGGGCTCATCTCCAACCTTCACGGCCAAGTGCACACATGGCATTCAAATCCTTCTCCCAGGCAGCGTTCACTAATTGCTCTACCCATAACGCTCTCCTCCCAGCCTCTCAGGCTCTCTGGAAGCCCCCATGAACTCCTCTACCTCTTCTTCACACCTCAGTCTGGCCCAGAGCTGGGCACACAGTGGGGCTCCAGGAAGACAGGAACTCACATCCTCCCTGTGGCTTCCTGGTTCTGGGCCAGACAAGCAGCTGGCAATTCCACAGTTCCCCAGAACTTGGCTGTAAAGTGATGGCAGGTGTAAATCACCTCCTTCACCGGAATCAGAGCCCTGGGGAGCCTGATGGGCCCCAACTGCCCTTTTGGCTCTCACTCTAGACCAGCAGAAACAGAGAAGTGGGAGGGTGCCTGTTTCCTCCTGTTCTCCCCAAAGAGGTGTAGTTAAGATCCAAATATCCAGTGTACCTTGGGGGTTGGTGGGAGGAGACTGAGTTGGAGGTGATGAAACCAACACTGATGGTGCTGCTACTCATGTCTGCTAAGGTTCTAGGAACTGTTCAAATATTTTAAGAGGGATTGGGAGAATATTGGGGAAAGGGAGGATGTTTTTAGTGGCCCTAGTTCAGGTGCTTTTCACCCAAATCTCTTATGTGCTGAATACTGTCAGGAACACTGGGGGCCTCAGAAGAACAAACCCTGGGCCCAGTTTGCAGGAGGAGAAAAAACCCGTTGCCCGATTATGGCGGCTGGGGATAGATGGGCCTGGTGGGTGGGGGGCGGATTTCTGCTATGCCAGGTTCTCAGGGCTTCCCAGTCTTCATCTCTCCCCTCCCAATTATTGGGTAGGAAAAACTTCCAAGAGCCTGAGCCTCCCACCCCAAGCCCTCAGGACCCATTTACACCCCACTCACCCTTGGGGAGGCAATTAATGAACCCCAGGGTGTAACGATTGACCTAGGAGAGATCCTGAGGAGTTAAGTGGGGAGTTTTAATTCCCTCGTCTCTAGTCCAACTCTGAGTCGTTCCTTCAGGCCATACAGGGAAGACTCGGGTCCACCCGCCTTGCCCCACCCCGGCCCGTGGAACCCCACTCACCAGCTCCATCTTCAGCGCCACGATCTTGTCCCCCAGACCGTGGCCCGTGCTAGGTGCCCCAGGGAGCAGCAGGGCTCCAGAGGTTCCCGGTTCCCGTTCCCCTCGAAGCCCGCGGAGCAGCCCTTCGGGGGTCTTCCTGCCCACCTTGCCTTCAACGTCTCGCAGGTCAGGCGTCTGGGACTCCGCAGTCCCCTCCATGCGGGCCTAAGCCTGAACAGAGTTGGGCGACCAGACGCTGGGGGTACCGATCTCGGGGGTCCTCCTGTCTCCGCTGCTAGTGCGGGGCGGAACCGGCGGGTCCCCGCCCGCGCTGCGCTGGGAAGGGAGGAGCGCGCCGTAAGGCTCCGAAAAGCCGCGCACAGAACTGTGTCTGTGTGTATACGTATTCGAGTGCTGCGGAAACAACCTCTGGTCCTGGAATAATTAGGGCTGGGCGATTCTGGATTTGTATCTAAATGAGCATTGAGAGAGCTCAGTGCCTATCCCCCACCCTGGCACTCAATCCAGTGGCACACAGCAGGCGCCCAAAAAATGTTTGCTGAGTGAAGGCTAAGCATATCAGTAACGGATGTAGGAGTTTAAGGAACAGTGGTAACTGAGAGCTACAGAGGGTTTTGGAAGGCTTCCTAGAGTAGAGCTGAATCTAAAACTGTGGTTAGAATTGAGCTAGCCACGGACACACATACATGCACCCTCAGTGTAGACACTGCATTTAGACTAAGGGAGTGGAAAGTAAAGTTTGGCCCATGAGTAGCAACAGTATTGAAACTGAAGAAGTCTACATGGGCCAAATCATGCTTGATCTTGTAAACTGATGCTTCATAAACTTGACCATTCACATGAACTACTTTTGAATCTTGTTAAAATGCAGATTATGATTCTCTAAATCTGGGATGGGGCCCCGAGATTCTCCAGGAATCACACTTTGAGTAATAAGGTTATAGAAGATGGTTCTAAGATGCTTGGATTTTATTCTACAGGCAATGAGAGCCATGAATAACATGCTTTGGCTTGATTTTTTAAAATATATTTTATTGATGCACCCCAATGTTCATAGCAGCACAATTTACAATAGCCAAGTGCTGGAAACAACCTAGGTGCCCATCAGTAAATGAATGCATCAAAAAACTATGATACATTTACACAATGGAATTCTATGCAGCAGAAAGAAAGAAGGAGTTCCTACCCTTTGCAACAGCATGGATGAACTGGAAAGCATTATGCTAAGCGAAATAAGCCAGGCGGTGAAAGACAAATACCATATGATCTCACCTTTAATAGGAACCTAATCAACAAAACAAACAAGCAAGCAAAATATAACCAGAGACACTGAAATTGAGAACAGGCTGACAGTGACCAGAGGAAAGTGGGGAGGGAATTTCAGGGGGAAAGGGGAAAAGGTTTGCAGGAACAATTATAAAGGACACATGGACAATGGGGGGGGAGGGGGGAACAGAAGGGAGGTGGGGAGGGATAGGGGGTTGGGTTGGGGTGGGGGAAAAAGGCAGAAAACTGTACTTAAACAATTAAAATAAAATAAATAGAAAATAAAAATAAATTTTATTGATTATGCTATTACAGTTGTCCCATTTCCCCCCTTTATTCCCCTCCACCCTGCACACCCCCTCCCACCTGCATTCCCCCTCTTTAGTTCATGTCCATTGGTTGTACATATAAGTTCTTTGGCTTCTAAATTTCCTATAGTATCCTTAACCTCCCCCTGTCTATTTTGTACCTACCATTTATGCTGCTTATTCTCTGTACCTTTTCCCCCTCTCTCCCCCTCCCACTCCCCCTCTGATAACCCTCCATGTGATCTCCATTTCTGTGGTCCTGTTCCTGTTCTAGTTGTTTGCTTAGTTTTGTTGTTGTTTTTAGGTTTGGTTGTTAATAGCTGTGAGTTTGTTGTCATGTTACTGTTCATATTTTTTATCTTCTTTTTCTTAGATAAGTCCCTTTAACATTTCATATAATAAGGACTGGGTGATGATGAACTCCTTTAACTTGACCTTATCTGGGAAGCACTTTATCTGTCCTTCTATTATAAATGATAGCTTTACTGGATTAAGTAATCTTGGGTGTAGGTCCTTGCCTTGCATGACTTCAAATACTTCTTTCCAGCCCCTTCTTGCCTGCAAGTTTTAAGAAATCAGCTGATAGTCTAGAAATAGACACTCCTTTGTAGGTAACTGTCTCCTTTTCTCTTGCTGCTCTTAAGATTCTCTACTTCTCTTTAATCTTGGATAATGTAATTATGATGTGCCTTGGTGTATTCTTCCTTGGGTCCAACTTCTTTGGGACTCTCTGAGCTTCCTGCACTTCCTAAAAGTCTATCTCCTTTGCCAGATTGGGGAAGTTCTCCTTCATTATCTTTTCAAATAAGTTTTCACTTTCTTGCTCTTCCTCTTCTCCTTCTGGCACCCTTATGATTTGGATATTGGAACATTTAAAGATGTCCTGAAGGTTCCTAAACCTCTCCTCATTTTTTTGCATTCTTATTTCTTCATTCTGTTCTGGTTGAATGCTTCTTTCGTCCTTCTGCTCCAAACCATTGATTTGAGTCCTGGTTTCCTTCCCATCACTGTTGGTTCCCTGCAACTTTCATTGCTGTCTGGGTCTTTTTTATGCTGTTGAAGTACCCAGTGAGTTCATGGAGCATCCTGATAACCAGTGTTTTGAACTCTGCATCTGATAGATTGGCTATCTCTTTGTTGCTTATTTGTGTTTTTAATCCAAGTAGTTCCAGCCCATGGTTACAGAAGGATAAAAGATAGTTACCCCTTGCCCTATTTCCACCTCTAGTCCCAGTGTCAGAGGCAATCACTTTTAGCTGTTTTTTTTTTAATATTTATACTCATAACCCCACAATGGTTTAAACCACTGTTTCTTCATTTTAAACATTGTCTACTGACTTCTCATTATGATAAATGTGTATTTACCACACTTATACTCCATATTTCCTTTTTCCACTGGCCCTATATATTTTTACCATTATTTTTACCTTTGTGATTTTAAGTGATATATACTTTACTTAGTATCTTTTTTATTTTTAGTTTTTCTTTTAATGATTCTAGAGAGAGGGGAATGGAGGGAGAGAGAGAGGGAGAGAAACATAGATGTAAGAGAGAAACACCAATTGGTTGCCTCTTGCACATGCTCCAGCTTGGAGACTGAACCTGCAACCCAGCCATGTGCCCTGATGGGGAATCAAACCTGCGGACTTTAGGTTTGTGGGGCTATGTCCAACCAACTGAGCCACACAGGCAAGAGATCCTTAGTATCTCTTGATCCATTGATAACCTAAATTTTTGAACTATCATTCCACCATCTAGGGAACAGATGGAATGTGAAGAGTTCAAAAATATCTAACTGGTCCTGGCTGGTGTGGCTCAGTGGATTGAACCCTGGCCTGCAAACCACAGGGTTGCAGGTTCGATTCCCAGCCAGGGCACATGCCTAGGTTTCTGGCCAGGACCTCAGTAGGGGGTGCGTGAGAGGCAACCACACATTGCTGTTTCCCTCCCTCCCTTCCCCTCTGTTGAAAAATAAATAAAATATTTTTTAAAATATGTAACCAAACTTCTGTCTTCCTCTGTCTCCTTTTAATCCATATCAGTAAATATCCTCTTAAATTGGATTACATTACTTCCCTGCTTAAAATTGTTTCATGGCTACACACTTACTTCAAATAAGCATCAACATCACCTGGAAACTTGTTACAAATGCAGCATTCTGCTCTGCCCCAATCTGTTAAATCAGAAGTTCTTAAGAATGGGACTCAGCCATGTGTGTTTTAATGAGCCCTCTAAGTCATTCTTTTTGTAGTTGTTTTTACTTATTGATTTTAGAAAGAGAGAGAAAGGGGGAGGGAGAGAAACACTGATTTGTCATTTCATTTATCTATCCAGTCATTGGTTGATTCTTTTGTGGTCCCTGACCAGGGATGGAACCTGCAACCTTGGCGTATGGAAAGGACACACTAATCAACTGAGCTACCCTGCCAGAGCCTAAGAAGCCCTCCAAGTGACTGACACAAGCCAAGGTTTGAGGAATATTGTAGTTAAGTAAAGTGTGGTGTATATGTATTATCTCATTTAATCTTCACAACATGTCTGTATTTTTACTCAGTATAGTGCAGGGATTAAGAGTGAAATCTGGAGCCAGACGGTTGGGGTTTGAATTCTGGCTTTCCCAGCTTTGTGACATTGGGCCGCATTTTCTTTCTCTGTAAGAGTGGCATAGTAATAGTCATGGAGTTGTTGGGTAATGAAATGAGTTAGTATAACGTGCTTCGAACGGTAACTGGCACCGAGCAAACATCACATAAGGGTATTCCCATTTCACAAAGAAGGGAACCTAGGCTGAGATGTGAATCGACTTCCTTAAAGTCTAGGTGAGTGGTAGAACCAGGTTTTTAATTTCCCTTAGCCTTCAGAGGCCGCGCATGCACCAGAGCTGGGTGAAGCCTTGCCCAAGCAAGGGGGGCAAGAAGCTGTGTCCAAGGCCCCTAATCCCGATGACACTAGGGTGCAGTGCGGTCTAGTTCAAGGCTCTAGAACTCCGACTGGAATCCAGTTTGCCACCTGGCTGTGCGGTCGGCAGGGAAGCAGCTCCTCCCCAGCACCCACCCCGCCAGCTCGCGGCAAAACTGCCTAGGGGCTAAGCACTCACGATGACGCCAGCTACACCCCACCAGCCGCAGCCCCAAGCGCCGCCCGCCGCCCTCTCACCCCACGGCGTTGGCGGCGGCGGCGGCGGCGGCGGCGGAAGCCGGGAGGCGGGCCGGGTCGGCTGGGGCGGGGCCGCGCGCGGCATGGAGGAGGCGGAGGCCGCGGCGCGCCGGGCGGAGCAGTGCGGGCCCGAAAGGGGCCCGAGCGGGGCCCAGGGCTCCTGACCCGTGAGTGCCTCCGGGCGGGGGTCCGGGAGTGCTGGTGCGGCCGGGGTAGGTCTCCCGATGCCTCCGGCGGCTCCGGCCCCTAGGAGAAGAGCAGGGTCACATAGAAGGGGAGAGGAGAATGGCAGGGTGGGGGGTGGGGGGAGCCGCTGCCCTTAGCCCACCCCCGGAATGAGAAGGCTTGGGGCTTGGTCATTTTGGGGGCTCATGATCCTTAAAAGTCTATGATTTGGCTTCCTCCTCTGGGTCCCTGGGCAACCCTGCCAATTTCTTCAGCCTCAGGAGAGTTTCCAGGTGATCTGACCCCTCTGAAGATTTCCTTCCCAGAAAAGTTGAGCCACTTTCCCCAGGTTACACAGTGTGGATACCTGCAGGGAAGCATTACTGGGAGGTCCTCCCTCATCTCCTCAGAAGGCATCTGGCTTTAGGAGGAACACCTTACT